CAATTTACAGGCAAGATCAAAATGTTAAGAATGCTAACATAATTTTTGTAAAATTTTGTTCGGTTACTGATATATTTCAAAAGATACATTGGCTTCATATAGATGGCTGAAATTTTTCACATAAAATTATAGACAATTTTCCTGACTCTGCAATGTACAATGAGAATAATTGACGTGAGTTACAACGGTTGCGTTACAACGAACTGCTACTGACTGAAAAACAATGCAAGGTAGAACCAGGTCTGCATATAACAAGAATTGATTAGGTTAGTGTGCTAAGATCTGCTTGGTATTCTTCAAATAATAAATTTACAGACTCCTGGGTAAATCAACCAAATCTTCGGCAAATATCCATACTAGTATTTAAGGATTGGAATAAGGTGCTAAAAAAGATCAATAAAGAGGACGGGACGAGGAACAAAACAGAAAATATTCATGTTTAAGGCCGAACGATGACTCAGCAGATACCTTTTTTGGACAAAACGAAGGTATGTTTACTCAGACTTTATATTTTAGAACACTGACCGTACACCAGCACTTATGTAGGTTAATGAAGACTATTCAGTAGTAAGATAATGAATGGAAAATTGTTCCTATGAATAGAGGAAATTCAGAATAACCAAACTGTTGGCAACAATGTTGATTTACAGAATATAATAATGAGGCACAGTGATCTGATGCTTTTGTGATATTTTATTTATTCTTTCTCTTTTTAACTCTGTGGCCAAAGTAGTCATGATTGAGCTCTTTTTCAGTATAATTGTCTAGATCTGCTTGTAATAAGATTTCTTGGTAGGAAGTTAAAACCAGTGCCAGGTTACGGACATGAGTCGTAGACGAGGTTAACAAGGAAAAGTGACATCAATATCATCGATTAGTTAAATCCTGCTATGTCGTAAGGGGCCGTAGGCAAACAAAATGTTCTGCCACACAGACATGTGTAGATTGAGGTTATCGCCCCACCGTCATGGATGCTGGTTAGATACACAACCCCCCTCCTTTTTTGATGTTAGGCTCTCTTACGTTTAATGGTTGATTGTAAATAATGCTTTCTAGTCTACTCTTTATTTTCTGTACACCTTGTTGGAATTCACTTTCTCTACTAGCTCCACGTCACAAAACAATCCAGACAATTTTGCCTTCTGTATGAAAGACAAAATATCCACGTAGCATGTCACACTGATTTTAAGTAAAGTAATAGTCTAAACTGTTGGAAATGTATCGGTTAATAGGTAGTTTTGAGATAGGAAGGACAAGGAGAGTGATACAGTGGGTTTGATTTCCTTGTAATTGACTGTAATTGATCAGCATCTAAAGGCTTTTCACTTTATCTGTCGACTAGAAATAAAACTAAAACTGCCGTGAAGATTAAATGAGGATTGGAATTTAAATTTAGAGAAAAGTCACGGGTAGCACCTTAAAGGCGTAACCTAGTAATGTTCGTAGGAGCAGGGATATTTGTCTATCCTTTCGTGATACCTGTATCGATGGTAGCCCGGGGCGCCATGGAGGTTCTACGGAAAGATTTTTGCATCTTTCTTTGTAGTCGAAGTTATGGCACCATCCGACCAGTCGCAGGGTGAAGCTTCGTTGGACATTTTCTTTTCGTCCATGATGTTCATACTTCAGAAGACAAGTGAGCAATATTCAAGTTTTGTCCTTATACACAATTTGAAGAGTTTAAGCTTAGCCTCACTTGTCACGAAGATCTTATTCATAAAATCAATTAGTTACCTGGATTTAGAGATAGTAGTTTAGGCATGGTCTTCGAATTTTAAGCTTCTGGAATAACGAATACCCAGATCATGCGCTGATATATGTGTCCAAACCCTACTTTTTTGTGAGTAGAGTGATATATTATGGTGATGCTTACCAAAATGCTTGATGCCACGTTTGTTGTGGTTAGATAGTAGCTGCCATGTTTCGCTCCAGGTAGTTAAGTTATCAAAATGATTCTGAATTATGGCCATATTTTCGTTTAGATCTTCAGGTTTATAGCTGTATACTATTTTCAGATCATAGCATATAAGTATGCTCTTTTAAATCTTATAGTATTACATATATCGTTTATGTAAATAAGGAACAAGAGTGGACCTAAGAATCTTCCCTGGATAACTCTACTTGTTATTGGCCTTGGTGATGAAAGGCAATCGTTGTACTTAATCATTTGCTGGCACCCATTTGGGAATGAAGCGAACCGTGAATGTAGTGGGTTACTGATTTCGAATGACTTTATTTTAGGGAGAAGCCTTCTGTGTGGGACCTTACCGAAAGCCTTCTTAAACTCGAAGAAAAGGACAGATACTAGTAGCCTTTTGTCTTATTTACGCGTAATATCATTAAATTAATCAATCAGGCATGTGTCATATGGCCTAGACATAAAGAACCCATGCTGTAAGGTCGATATCAGATTGTTACTATGTAGATGTTGTATTAACCCCTCCTTAACTACTTTCTTCATCACCCCAGATACTGCTGAAGTTATGTTTATGGGTCGGTAATTTCCAACATTCGCTGTAGGAACAGATTTCATTGGGGGGGATGATATGTGTAGTCTTTCAGTTAGTAGGGTAACACTCTCTGGAGAGTTATATAGCAAAATGGTTTAGGAAGAATAGCACACAGATAATTGCTCCCATTTTTCAGCATGCTGGCTGGGATATCATCTGGTCCTTTAGTGTAACAGTGCTTCAGTGTACTAATCGCCTTAGAAATGTTCTGTACACTAAATTCAACACTGGCGATTTCACAGGAAGAAATTTTTGTCAGGTGCGATTGATTTGTTGGGTTTTCGTTTTCCAATGAAGCACAAAAATGTGTGCTAAACAGCTCTGTGATACTTTTAGGGTCCTAATACACTTGGTTGTCCTTAATAAATATGCTCCCTCCTTTCACTTTAGAGCTTTAAGTTTATTTCGAAGGAGTATTATAAGTGCAGAAGATTCATTTCTCAGCTGAATAGCACGCTTTTCCTGTGCAATCGCATTTTTAGTGCGTATCATCTCTGCCTCGACAAATATTTCAGTCATCGTTACGAATGAGAAGTCATTGCAGTTATGAAGTCTGGAAGCATGTCTTCGAAGACGTTTTCGTATATGACCTGGCATATATGAGTACTTAGGAATTCTGGGTCTCCAGGATCCTAGGGGTGCAAATTTATTGAATATATTGTGTTGTGACAAATCACATTTATTAGTTCCTCAGTATTGTTTGCGGTAAAGTAGTTAGTCGAGTCTAGGAAGCTGAATTTCTTGGGAACTGTTCAAGAAGACCAGGCGCCTGTAACTATTTAGTTTACCATACCAATATGCTTTATATCTGATCAAACTATGAATTCTAGTCCACTTGACAGGACTCTCGAGCAGAGAGATAGTGTCAAGATGAGCTTTGAGAAGTGGTCAAATGTTTCGGGTCTTTGAAAATAATGAATCCTCGGCTTTCCACAGGGGGATGTGTGTAGAGTATAGCTTAATATACAGCTTGGAAATCGCTGCTGAAATCTGCTACATCTCGATTCAATGTCCTGCAACTCTCTCGAGAATGCTTAAGTTTGTCATCCATTGTCTCTCCATCATCCTCAGACTCTTCCGATTGCTCGGTTATGTGTGACCGGGAAGGGCCGCTACCTTATTTTGTAACATTGAGCATCTATAGTGTGCCCTGGAATGTCCAGGGCGTACGTTCCAAATTGAAATTTCTCTTTGTAAACTGTGAAATCCTGTTTTGAAGTCGCTGGAAAACAAGGTTCAAATGCTGGCTATGAGACTCATTCTCTGGACTTTCGATCAACCAGTCATCAATACAAGCGTGTACAAAGTCGAGACCTCTAACAATGTCATCAATCTCCGAGATATTTGACAGCATTTCCTTAACGGAAAGGCATGTTTGGAAATTCGACGAGCCCAAAGGGAGTAATGAAAGTTGCTTTAGGAATGTCTTATAACAATGATGTGTTTTAATTAAGTTGATTATTGATAAGATAGTTGTACCTTTCAAGATAGGGAATGTGAGGTAACGGGTAACTATTCGGTGTGGTTTCAGTTTTCAGTCGTCGAAAATCACTGGTTGAACGCTTACCGTTTCTGTCCTTTTTCAAAAAATACGCGCTGAAGATTTTTATGGACTGTTCAACTGTCGGAGATTTCACACATCTGTTATGTGGTCGAATTCATTTCCGGTAAGTTTTAGCTTTTTGGGAGCTAGCTTTTCAGAATTCAGGTGGTCCTGTAGTTATGATGTGATGGACAATATTACTGGTTGCACATGGTTAATGTAGTCGTGTTCGATGAATTTTCGGGTACCTTTTTAGTAATGGTTAGAAGAACGTGTCGATTACATGTTTAACCGTGATTGGGTATAACCTAAGACTAGATAAAAAAACTCCATAAACAGATAACTTAGTATTAACGCCCGCTAACCTTCGTTTGCTCGAATCGACGGGTAGAGTATGATGTCGTAACAAGTGTGTACCCAGAGCTGGCTTTGAAATATCTGCCACAATCAAAACTCAGTAAACGTGTTTTGGTATGCACACGCCTCTCAAAATGTTTGTTCAACTGGAGATGGAGGTTCTGAGGATTTCCACAATCCGACCGGCAGATGTATCTAGTTCATCTGCGATGCTATGTAAGAGTGGAACGAGAACGGCTTGTATCTGTTAGAAATGTTTTGATCAGAAGAGTTATAAAAGGCGTTCCTTGAGAGTTGGCTAGTCATTAAATTCTATCGTACTTAGAAACATTTCTATTTTGTGGTTCTGTTTTGTGTGAAAACACTGGTTCACCGTCAATCAACAGGGTACGTCATTACGTTTAGGGATCTTCTTTCAGGGTGACTTAATCGTTCGGAACCTAACTAAGTGAAGTACTAGTTGTAACTTACATATTCGACCCTCGCGCAATAAAGCTCATGGAGAACAATCGCTTTATTCTAACTGGTGAAAAAGATATTGGATATTGAAATTGGTTTACACTTTTGGCTCGGTAAGCGCTATTTTCATTCTTCGGAGTGCGTGCGTTATCTGTTACCATCTTTCCCTCTAGTCATGACATAGTTCACTGTAATTACTGTTTATAACGGAAATTTATAACGGAAACATTAGCAAGTATCCAGTCTTTTGTTTACTTTTTGGAGTTTGTAAAGTGCTTCGTAAGGGCATTCCTTTTTATCTACATTGATAGGTTAGTATGTCGTGTTAAAATCGAGATGATCGAGAAATACCGCAAGTTGTTTTGAAACCATCTGAAAGCTATCGTTAAATTACTTTAAGTCCTTTCTGACTTCAGGAATATATTTAGCTGATGCAACTTTTCTTAGGAGTCTCCTGTTCGGTATTTTATCACTATCTTAGAAAGCGAAATTGATATGATTGTTATGCCTTGATATCGCGGCCAATAATTTAACTCGATTATCGATTCATGCTAACTCTGAGTTAGTCTTTATCGTCTTGTTTTCATGAGTATTGGCTATACTCAAACAAAATCCTTGCTCCATTACTACATAATAGCAACTAATACATTCCCTATCGGTTGGATACTTTGTAGTTCGGTTTTATTGATGTAGATTTAATACACTGTTTCGTTCTGTACCCCCAGAGTAATCTGCACGTTAGAAAGTACCCTTCGTAGTAGTTTCGTAGTGCAATTAAGTTATGGGATAGCTCTGATAGTTTTGTTTATAATTTGTTTGATTCATATTTGTACGTCTATTGACCTTTTTTCCTTACAGACAGTCCAGAAGAACATATCTACGTGCTGTGTCATATAATGTTTTCCCCTGTTGATGGAACTGAACTCCAAAAGTTGATATCAAGCGGACGGTAGTGATGCTCTTAAATTATATTTGCAGTTCAGAAAGTTGGTAGTATTCTTCTTGTCTTCAAATGTGCCCCAATGTGATCAAGTGCATAGTGTTCTAAAAATACTTAGTGAGGACACAGTTAACTCGGAAATTTCGTTCGTCAACGTAAGTTATTCACCTTTTTTTGGCGAATGCAGAACGGTCGACTATCAGTTAAAGTCAGTTGTTTACAATTCGCCATACATTAAATGCGTTTGTTCCTGACCAGCTGTTTTAATACTTCAGCTAGGTTCTCATTTAAATGCTACAATCGTGCCCCCTTATATTAAGACTAACCCTTCTTATTTTAACATGAAAATATTGTGCGTATAGCTGTCAGTAAGTTACACTTATGTGCATACGTTTGTGTATTACTACTCAGTCTCGTTATTTTTGTCCACTGCTGATTTTTAGGTGGATGCAGAAGCCGCTTCTAAAGTTTCGAAACAACTGGAGATCAGTTCTGTTCCTACGGTATTATTTTTCCATGTAAGTAGAAGAATTGTGCTGTTTTCTTAGGTTTCATCGGTCACCATTATTTTCATTTTTTAAATAATCTGAGCACGACTGCTTACGTTTAACCAGTAGCCGTCTTTTGTAGCTAAAATGATTTTATCAGGCTTCTGAAATCTTAGTATGCTTTCGATTTCTATACAAAGTAGACTAATTAGACTATTTAGTCACCGCTCCATCGTTACTCTGAACATCCGACTTCATCATTTTACATTAAGACTGATTTATGTCCATCCTCTTTGCTCCTAAAATCAACGTTATTTCTTCGATATAGTGTATCTTTACTAAAGTATGTTCAATAGCGTAAACATTGTGAAGAAAGTTGTACAGGATTTCAAGATGCCGAAGTGTTCGTTAGTTTTCAGTCTTCATACAGTAAGTTCGTAGTTGAACAGTTGTAGCCATTTATTATGATTTAGACATAGATATTAGTACAAGTGGGCACCTAAATATTTATGTACTATACTAATGAACCTGTGAGTGCGCTGGGATACTGCCCAGAAATTAAAACAGTAACAGGTTGCCAAGCCTTTGTCTAAAACTCTAATCCGTAAGAAAGTGAAACAACGTAAGGAAATGCAGTTCCATGATAGTCAGTGATTATCATTAAGTTCTTTCGCCGTTTATCCTATCAGGATCCTAAAGTTCAAGTGCACCTTTGTTCTAGAATTAAGGTTTTCTAACTACTATAGGTGGATCCTCTGTACCCATCAATCTGGTTACAGCGAAAGACACTTGCTTTCCGTCCTCTCAATTTTGTACTCAACACCCCACAATCGGGCAGTGAGTGGGACTCCCCGGGCAGTGGCTATAAAGGAATGACCACATGAAAGCACTTAAAGAGGGCAGATTTTCTTTTTCGGATGTACCAAGGCATTTGGTGCAAAGTTAATAGCATTACCTTCTGTGTCCAGTAATGGACGCCCATCTAACAGCCTGCAAAACAAAATTTCGCAAACAAATGTCTACACTGAATCCCAGCGATTTTATTTTCCCAAAAACACACTTGTTCATTGACGAATCAAAACTACATATGCGTGTGAAGTAATTTTTGTAAGTTGCACTTTACTGTAACCTTTAATCATTTTGCCTTTCTACCGATTAAGTTGGTGTCATTCATACGGTGTCGTCTTGAATAAACACAGAGTCGCAAGTGGATTGTAATCACTTAGCAGGATGTCATTTGTAACACTTTTATTCAAAGGACTTATAATGTCGTTACAGGTAACTGATTAACCAAATTTACTGGTCGTAAACTGGAGCTTCCTTGGTAAATCAGCAGTAACTGATACTGACAAGTCACATGACCTTCAAATGGAAATTTAGGAATATTTGCAGTTTGGTTCATATCTCTCAGATGTAAGATGATTCCCCACAATCGATCTGGACTAAATTCGTTTAATTACAAGTAACTGAACGTGTGAACAGCTTTTATTGTTCTGACGTTTGAAATAGTCCAAGAGGTTACTTCCAATTAAATCCCTACAGCAGTATCAAAGATTAAGACCACTGACTAAAATTACACTTGTTTTCATGTTTAGCCCCAAGCTATTATTACGTCTAAGTGTTAGTCTTTACTCACACAATAGTTATTTCAAAGATCACCTGTGTAATAGGGATTTATAGAAAAGTTCTCCGAGTAAATTGGTAATCATTTAATTGATTAGTTCTTAATGTTACTGTTTCAAATGTTTGATCTGCCAGTGTTGTTTTTTAAATAAAAGTTAGGTAAAGAAATTAATCGTGTTTGTGGTGCATCTATTCCTGAGATTACAAAATCTGTCATGAAATTACAATCAGTACCTGCTCATGATTCATCCAATGACCTTTCATCTCGTCTTCACTCCTTGATTAATAAGGCGCCTGTTATGCTTTTTATGAAAGGTAGCCCCGAGGAACCTCGATGTGGATTTAGTCGTCAAATAGTCAGCATTTTACGTTCAAATAATGCAACGTTTGAAACATTTGATATCCTACAAGATGAGGAGGTTCGACAAGGTTTGCTGAATTTTTAATTAATCTGTTTTGTGTTTTGTCAATTATCATTTTAAAACTATGTTTTCACTAGTATTGTGCATCTAACCATTCAGTAGTATTTCCGGTTCCAGTTGTCTTCCCATTACCAGGACTCATATTTCTTAATGTGTTGTCTATCATTTTCGTGTTGTTAACTTATAAATCGCAATTATCGCTATGGATTTCTATAGTCATACCAGCTGGTTTCATACATTTGAAACGCACAGTGACTATTATGAGTACAAAAATTATATCCTCGCAAGGAATGTTCACTCGAAAGCATTTCAAGTCGTAGTCCCATGAGTTCATACATGACTGGTACTTGATACTTTTGTAGTGAACGAAAACACAGGTGGGGCAACCGAATTGTATTTAACGAAAACTACAGTTATTCAGTAAAATCGGAAAACCATTATCGTAAATCGTTAATTTGCAAAATATCAGTTCATCATATCAAACTGGACTGTTCCTGTTACAAAACTTCAATCCATTGTCACTATTCATGCGTTTCATACAAATTCCATTGTTTTCTAACTCTTCCTTTCTTGCTCTTCCCCCATCTTCCGCTGCCAGACATTACGTTGACACTCACGTCATATACTACTTATAAGTAGCTCACACCACACTCGTCCCCCCTTTTAATAAGCTGTCATCGTAGTCTTTCAAAACGGGGATCCTGGTCAGTTAATATCACCTTCCGTATTCCGTGACCCGCCACAATATGCCGGATTACAACTTCGGTCATTGTTCTTGCCCGCTGGTCTGGAATGGATACGGCATCTATTTAACGTGTAGCGTTTACTAGTTCCCGCTGCTGGGACACGGCGGCAGGCACACTCTCGATAAATGGCGACGCCAACGACTGTGCCTCCGACTCCTCATCGATATTCGGCAGAGCACGGCGCATCAGCCAGCACCAACGGGTCACCATCAGCCGACAGACTCGCCAGCCGGAACCTCTGCGGCGCCTCCTCCCTGTTCACTGGGCCGTCGAACTCCGTCATCAGCCGCCCGGTGACTGTCTCCCACGCCGTCTTCCCGGCGGCACCGTCCAGGCTGTCGCATACCGCCTTCGCCTCACCCCGCAGCGTTCCCAACTCCGCCCCGGGCCCTTTCGCACCCACCAGCTCCACCGCGGCCTCAACTCCTACAGGAAGCACCGCAAATCTCCGTCCTCCAACTCCATCGGTCACGGGAGCCCCTTCCTTTGAGCAGGCAGCGACACTAGATGTAGTGAACGAGAACACAGGTGGGGCAACTGGATTGTATTTAACGAAAATTACAGAGTTATTCAGTAAAATCAGAAAACCATATCGTAAATCAGTTCATCATATCAAACTGGACTGTTCCTGTTGCCAAACATCAATCCATTGTCACTATTCATGCGTTTCATACAAATTCCATTGTTTTCTAACTCTTCCTTTCTTGCTCTTCCCCCATCTTCCGCTGCCAGACATTACGTTGACACTCACGTCATATACTACTTATAAGTAGCTCAGTTTCGTCGCTGCTGGAATTTGTAAGTTCGACTTTTCTCGCTGCTTAAAATGAGCCTTTAATAAGTAACACGAATCAATTACTTTGCTGATTATTGACTGTCCATATACGTTTTGCGGATTAGTTATAAACACTTAGTTAACCTATTACAATAACAAATTTGTATTCATCTTAGTCGTAGTTTTTATTATCTGGTTTCGTTTGTAACATAATATTTGTTATGCCCCTATATAAAACAGCTATCAACCTTAATACTTTCTCATTAGGTTTTTGTCTCATCTTAACTAGAAACGCTATTGGTTAAGAAATGATTAGTTTATTTTAACGAACTATAATGTCATTTAGATGGACATGCATGTATAGTTTCTTCTACCTGACAGTTTCTAAAGCACGATGTCTCACCCCTCTTTGTACTCACTAATCATTTTCTGATCTTAATCATTTTGTGACGGTCATGCTCTTTAGGTAGTTATCCAACCGGTTGTTATTGAGTCTGTCATGCAAATCCTACCTGATGTGGGAGTTGTAGTAGTTCATAGTATATACCTTTGCATGAACATTCCTATCCAATTCAACAGAACCTTCGGATTTTTGGAATAACGAATAAGGCTTTTAGATCATATCTCCAGTGACATGTTTCATTTTACTCAGGTGAGTCAGCTGTTCGACATTCGGCTGTTAGGTCACACGTTTTAACCGTCCCATCAAGCGCAACTGAAATCCAAATCCTTTTCCTTCAGTCTGGGTCACTGATAACTATTACTGCATTATTCCTTCACGCTAGGGTTTTGTTGTGCCATCTGTATATACTCGTTTTTTAAATTCGATTTCTGATTGTGGAAATCTGATTCGTTGGTGTGTAAGCTTTTTTAGTAGGATTAATATACCAGTTACTGAGTTGCTTAAAATCCTCAATTATATTTTATCAATATAAAAGAGAGGACCCACCAGATACTCAAATCGAAAGAGAAATAAAATTAAAACTTGCTATCCAATAGTTAAAAGCTCAATACCTTACCGTATCACAACTATTCGTTTTACGGACATACTCTGATGTTTGATTTTTCGTTTTTCTTCCTTGAAGGTTTGAAAACCTATTCTAATTGGCCGACCTACCCACAATTATATGTAAAGGGTGAGTTATTGGGTGGTGTGGATATTGTACGAGAATTAGCTGATTCTGGAGAGTTAGCACAAATATTGATAACTTCGTGAATCTACCAAATGAAATACTCATCCTCCTAAACTTCTGCCATGCATTGTATTTTTGACTACAATATAACCTGATCAAATTGAAGTCTTTGATTTTTTAATGAACAGTCTCCAGTTTGGCTTTTGTTTACCATTACTATCATGCATAAAATATTTAGACACATACAGGCTTGCTTACTGTGATGTCGATTCAGTAATGCGGAGGGTTGTTTAATCTATCATACATTATTTTATATTTGAAACTGCTCTCAGCGTTTAGGAAATTTTCTCATTATAAAGTTATGGAGTTAATTACTCAATCACCTTAGACCATCCTTCGAAACCTGGGATCACTGGACGGTCGTTTCGTTTCGATATAGGATTCATCAGCAGTTTTGCACCCACGACTCACGCTGCTTACAGGAATCGAACCCAGAACCTTCGATCTTGCACACAAACGCTTAAGTTCTAGACTATTTAGTCGGCATCCAACGTCTGTAACGTCTTATTCTGTTGAATGTAAGAATTTCTCACAACCTCACTCACTGTCATCGGTAGTTACTGTGTCAGTGCCTGTCATTGAAAGGTGTACCAAAATGGTACACAACCCTCTCAGTCTCTACTCAAATATTAATGGTTGAGTCAGAACTTACGACGAACTTTCTTCACAATCGATTACTTCAAGTAGTATCTGTCAAGGTTGTTCGATTTACCACATCTATTTAAGTTTTTCATGGACATGCTTTCAAAGTTGGCACTTCGGTCGTTTGAATTTTCGGAGGTTGACCAGGCGATTCAATGGATGCATCCATTGTTTCTCTTCTCGAATTCTAATCTTCTGAATTCCTCATGACCTTTCTTCTGCGAAATTTATTTCACCGTGATATACTTCTCGAATCATATTTTTGAACCCAAATCTTCACTACCGCTAATATCTCTACTACTATATGATTTGGATTGACATTTCGATCTCTGTGTCAATGTAGTATGCCAACTTGACCTGATGTTCGTACGTACGCAGTTCCACGTTCTAGACTTCAGAATTCTTCAAAACTCTATTTCTTCCAAGTTTGTTTCACTAGTTTGCCTTTTTTCCTAATATTATCATCGTTTAACAATCTTGTGTTGTTTCTATCTCTACTATGGTATTTGAACTGACAGTTGCATCTCTGTGCTTATTGAGGCACAGCAACTTGAACTGATATACGTACATACTAACTTCTATTTCGTAACTAAGTGACTGATTTTATACCACTGCTACCTAAGTGGTTTTTGTAGCAGAATTTTAAGTAGATATATTGGCAGTGAGCCAGTCACCAGCAGTTAATAAATTTCTAAAGGTTGATTTACTTCTAGAAATGAAATTTAATTGAGTTTTCAATGAAAAAATCCATACGATTTCATCATTTCACCCACTAAACTAATCCAGCCTTTTTCATCGAAATGTCAAACATGATGTTTATTAAAGATTAACTAGGTCTCAAAGGTAAATATACACTAGAATGATGAATCGACTAATGGATCTATGTGCAGATAATTTATTTAATTGAAATATAATAGTTAACAATGTAATCTATTGTATATTCCATTTAATGGCTACGATGCGTGGATGGAGGTAGATTCATGGGTAGAAGCTAATATTTCTCCCTCATTTTTGATTGTCAGTTGCCATTGTGTAGGTAGCCTCACTAGAACTCCAACTAGTTTTGTTGTTTTGCCCCCCCCCCATTTATTCACGTGTTCGGCTGTCACTCTTTTTTAAGTCAAGGGCCCATTATAGTCCCATTGAAATCTATCTTTTGTCTTGTACTGGTGTCGGCCTATTTCCAACGCTTTTGAGGGTTTAGCAATGTTCCGAGAACCATCTTATTGCTTTTATTCTTATATTAAGTTACGAGTTCAGTTTGTTCTGTAGGTTCCACGGACACTATCCCTTTGCTGTCGTTATTCATGTATTTTACGAATCTAAAGTTTAGGATATTTGAATTCTAGTTTCCACCTATATTTCTCACAGAGTAGGATAACCGCAGCGATAATCCTGTTCGTCGATTGATATTTGGATATTCTTATCGCGTTTATTTAAACTACTGTAGTGAATGTTTAAATAGGTTCTTAGTAATTGAGGAAATTGAAAATCCCCTGTCCACACTCATCCGTTTAGATCTCCAATCATGTATAACGTCGACCGCAAAGATTACCACAAAGTCTTAGTAATCTCAAGGGGCCTAGTAAGTAAGTCAAATTCATACTTATGTCCGATTCTGGAGATCCACATACATTATCTTACGCTCCTGATGCATTAATAAGAAAATGTATTCCACATCCCCACAAAAAATAGAACTCTCATGATTAACCAATAAGTATGTAATGTCAGTTAATTTTCGTTCACATGAATAGTTATCAATAACAGGTACATTGTTCTTGAAGTAGATTATAATGTTCACAGCCGATTAAAATGTTCCTTTCAATCGGCAATCGAAATAATTCCACTACCATTTTGGACATGTTCTATAAATAAATATATGAATAAAGTTGCGTAGAGAAACTGATAATGGAAAGTAGTTGTGGAATGCAAACCTGAAAAGTAACATTCGCTTGAGGCTTGGACGGTTTGTCCACAAGGATGTACATTTCTCTCTAGTTTTTTTATGCCCTAATAACAATGATAATATAACAGTACAGCATGTCATCCAATATGACATATAAAAGTAACAGTATGTATTTGTTTCGTATGAGTATATATGTACCAGGTAGAATGAGTAAGCCATGGGACAAACTTAGTCCTCGAATATCTAGATGTATAGATATATTGAAAAGAAAGCTATACATGCATGCATTTTCCATAAGAATGTCAGATCATTTTGGATTAAGTGAATACGTTTTATAATGTCAAATCATGTAATCAGTAATTCATTTAGTGTACATAACGTTTGTGGGTGTGTACATGTTAATGTGTTAGGGCGTGTGTGGATGATGCTAGTCAGATAGTTTATTTTGGATTACAATTTGTTAATCAAAATAAGTTTAATCTTCTTCATCGTCCTCTTCTTCAGATTCATCAGTGACTACCACATCAGCTGTGTGAGCAGCTGGTACATTTTCAAATACTCCACTGTGTGGACATTGTTCTTGCCATATATCAATCTGAAACGCAATATCATTATAAATTAAATAATTATTGACAAAGGATAGTTAAACTGTTCCAATAAATATTTGAAAAATCAAACATGATAATTGTATGGTTTGACATGTCTGTCAGCGAAACAAGATTAGTACAAACCCCAGTTATCTCCATTTGTAGCTGACTCCCTACGCGCTCAAACGATACTAATAGTTCATTATTTGAATTGGTATCTTAATCGTTGAATCGATTTCAGTTGGCTGTTACCAGAATACTTTTAGTGATAGCTTTAGTGGGTAAAAATATTTAGAACAATTAATCTTCGGGGAATTGAAATGGTCAGAGAAACAACCTTATTTGTCTCAAGATGTCTAGTAATGTATTGATATATGTATAGTTGAAGTTAAATTGCCATTGTAAATTGAATTTTATCATGAATATTACGAATGAGATGAAATAACTAGTTATGACTATTAGACTAGATAATGCTAACAAGGTAACGTGTAACATTCTACACTTGTATGGTGTTATAGATAACATAATTAGTCAAGTCCATATTCTTGAGAAACGAATGTTCATAAATACACAAATATATTATTTCTGTGGTTACAGTCACCTGAAACATTAATTTTCCAATACTACCAAACTGTTCTCATTTACTGATGTGAATACTAAATATGATAATATGATAGCTCAACAATTCGTTACATCGATTAAGTCACTTAACATCTCGATTATATTATTCTGTATGATGTGATCTCGGTAGTGAATTCTGAAAGTATAACTAACCTTTATCTCTACGCCGCTTATGACACTTTAATGACATCGCTTAATTAACTATGCATATATCGTAAATAAGTTATGATATATGGTCAGTGAGATGTGTGAAAGTAACACCATATTACTAAAATTATCTAAAAGAAAGAAGTTAGTGAAAAGAATGGCAGTGAAATCTATATTGGTGGTAAAAATTATCTGATAGATACGTGACTTTTCCGACAGAAATATGATTTGGAGTATAATTTTAAATCACTCTCTAATACTCTAAAACTTACTCTTCACAATAATTAATCAGCATTACTAGATACTGAATGTTGCTTATACACATATATATAGGCACTAACGAAACAATATGTCAACAACTTACAATATCTGGTCTACTTTTATTCTTTGCAGCTTCTTCCGCTTGTTTTTGACGTTCTAAAAAGGCTTGTTTTGCTTGTGTAGCGTATCGTGCTTGTTTTTGTGTACCATCTTCATCACCGTTCATTTGACCATGTTCAACTAATAAAATAGTCTTGATGATTTATAAAAATATACAAACAGAACGGGTTTGAAAGACAAGAAGAAATAGGAAATGCTTATTTTAAAAAAAAAAGGCGACTGAGAATTTTGAAATTATTCTTACCACTGACTATTACTTAATTGTTAGCTAATTAGTGTGACTATAAAACTTACGAAATATATTTCAGTCAAAATTGCGAATTAAATATCAGTGGTTTGAGAATTTATGGATGAATTTGTTATTGATCACTAGAAGTTGTTCATTATGAATGTAAATGCTAGCTAGTATGAATACATCATCACAATCAATGGAGCTGTGTACAAGAGGTGTAATATGTACAATAAAATAATAATGCATTTCATTTCGAGAAAGTAGACGTCAGTAATTTGGGATGCATATTATTTTAGTCTTCAGCATTTCATACGAAGTTGAAACAGGGTTGAACAAATCTTAGTTAAACTTAAATGGAAGACATGATTTTTGATATCTTTTCAAGCAGTCGATAACACATCACTGGTTAGTAAAATTCCCGGTTTACCATTATTTATAATAACATTAATTAAACTGAAATGTTAACCATCTCCGAAAGAGTTCATAAGGTTGATTTTCCACTACTGAGATTAGTGATTTTATCACATACTTTGACCAACCTGTGTAACATAGTCAACGGAAATCATTATTGCGTAGATTACTGATTTGTGTTCAATTTCGAATTTGTTTGATGCTGAATACAAATTTAGACTTAAAATGTATATATTCTCAGAGTGACACCAGTCTAATTGAAAAGAAGCATTAAACGCGATTTTGACTTCCTAACACACTAAGAGACAGTATATTTCATGGTAAACCAAAGGTCATTTGAACTGCAACTAAACATCACTTGAAACGTAGGACAGTTATTGCTTCCTTATTTTGGAACTGTCTAACAAAGTCTAGTCAGAAACCGACAGGTTCCCGAATTCAGTAAATTATGATGACAACCATGACATAATTCTGAATCTGATAATCTACATTTAAAATTCAATTAATGTTTAATGCTACAAATCATACATGATGTTCAACGTTACTTTTCTAAAGGACGATAGAGTTTAATAATCTTCTGAATGTCTATTTTATGAAAAACAAACTAAATAAGTCGAAAACTTATGAATCCTACTTATTGTAATCACAAATACGTCTGTAATAATTTAATCTACATATTGCTACTGAAATAAATGCTTCATGATAAGTTTACGTAACAAACTACTAGGTCTAACTTCACAGTTAAGTAGCTGCACGTTGAACATATTTATATATCTAGTTAAACCATCAAATAAATACTCAATGTTTTTTAGCACTATAACCTGAATTTGAATAATTGAACTTTTGTTATTATTATTAATATTAACGTAATCACCATAACATAAACTTTCTATTGTGTTCTAGATTGATGTGATTTTACTGTGTTAGTTTGAACTCATTGCATTGCAACACTATGTTTTTACCGCTTCATACATAACCTTTCAATTTTACAAATGATGCATTTTGTATATACGTAGGTTATAATAGGCTGTCATTTTTAACATATAACCGTGTTTCATTTAATCATAGCTTAGGATTTGTATGGTTTATATTACACCTTGTAATACAATAATTATGAATTTACTGGACCTTTATTTTATTTTTGCTTATGTTCAACACAGTTAATGATTTATCTAGATATGTGCTTTCTTTTCATAAATGTCTTCTAAATTTATGACTTACTTTGTTAGTTCCTGTTGTTGTTTGTGATTTAGACGCTTCTTGTATAAATCGATTTTTCGCTTCAGATGCCCATTTCACAGAATTACTTGGATAATCATCTGTTTGTTCATCATCATAACGGACTACATTATCACGTCGAGTTGGTTCATTTTCATATATTCCACTCTCAGCAGCATTAATATCTATAAGCTATACAGAAAAAATAAGAGAGAATGAAATCATTTTAGAGTAAGCATTCATTAAATATTGAAAGAGCTGTCAGATAAGTTTTGTCGAAAAAATTTTCTATCATACATATGTATAAACTACTCAGAAACTTTTAAACATTCCGTTTTTTTAATTCGTAAGTTCAATTGACATAAATGAAATCTTTCATCTTTTAAGTAAATAAATTCAAACTAACTTTTTATGACTTTCATAGAAAAATGCTCATTTAGTTACAGAATCCATTAAGTCTTACTAAAACACTCGGGTATTTATCCTGAACTAAATCGTACAGTACAATTTTTATATTTCACCAAATGGAATATTTGATTCGATTTCGTTTGATTTATATTATCAGTCTATCGAAACAATATATTAATACATATATATCGACCATTTCTTCCAACAACTACTGTAGTTCAGCTCAAATATAAAAGAGTAATCTAAAAATTATAACTTCAATGAAGTAGTGCCGACCGAGAGTAGAAGGGAATTCGTTGGATATTAACTTAGTATTTATCAAATGTCTTATCGTACCTTAGTGTATTTGTATCTTACTAAACTCTTTTGCAAACTTGTCAAGATAATAATAATCGAATACTGCGAACCACAAAAAATAACATTTACAAAAACAAAAATGTTATTGTTTTCATAGTAATCATCACATGAATGAATACCTGTACTCACTTTTATACTGTCTCTCTTTACAACCGAAGTATCAGCAGCTTTCTTCAAAAACAATTCACGTCTTTCTTTAGCACTTACACCAGATGGTAGATCTTTTTTTGTGTCACCAGCTCTTGCAATGTTTTCAAATTTTTCAGGTTCATTCTCATAAACACCTCCATAACCCTTTGATTATTTATATACAATAAATACATAAGGCGATAAAGACAAGATAAACAAAATTATATGGAAGCTTATATAGTATAACAAATAAATTTACACTTATTTAATGATGTTCATTGCTTTTAATTCATCAGGACACTGTTCACTGTTCAAACAAGTAAATATTAAAATGAAACAGTTACAATTTAATTATGGCTATTTAAATCTATCTGCTTTCAATAACTTTACTTTTTTGAAAATAATACATAAAGCACTTTTGAAATACTTCTGAAGTTGATGAAATAATAAAGCTAATAAAATGAAGAATTATAAGGTTTTATTTATTTTGAATGATTATTTACGATTAGCTGTTAACACTACGAAATATATGAGTTATATAATCTTAAATCATAAACAGTATTTCGCATTTAATTTTCTAATATAGATAGTTGTTTTTTTTACTGAAGGATTTCCGGTATTATTTTTAAATGCAAGTTAATGATGTTAACAGTAAATGTTACGTGAATCTATTGAAACTAACTGTTCAATTTTCTCGGTGGCTATTGTCAAAACTCCTTAGCATTCTACAATGAATTTCTAACAGAGTAGTAGTCTGTTAGCTTCTATAGAAAATAAACTACTTACACTACAGGTAAAACACAAACACCACTTATTTACGCTTGAGATAGGTGTAATAACGAACTATGCCTGTTTCTAGATGTTATTTTTTATTTCTACTTTCGATCAGCTACTGAATATTGTGCATATCAAATATTCCATCATGTATGCTAAGGGATAAACTTTCTGAACTGATTGTTGACTTAAAATTATTCAGAGGATTCTGTGGTACATCAAGAAATAATCAGAATGTAAACATTTTCATTACAAAAGATAACTCCCGTAAGTATGCACATATCGAGGTAATCTGCACAGAATGCACGTATGTCGAAAAAGACTGGTCTGTTGCAGTTTTAAACATTAATGGGGAAATTCAAAAGACCAATACAAACGACTTTTATCAAGTTTACGTATAGTATATTAATATCTGTGATCAATAATATCAATGTCATATTATATGACAGTTTAAATTCCCGAATACTTTCAAAAACTTATCAAATCAATTCATTGTTGTTCATTCTACTAGCATATTTTGTGGGTTAAATACCTTGGTTAATGAACGATTTCACAAAATAAGCTCGATTATTTTGATTAGATCATTGGAAGTAAGAACTGTATAACACTAGTTATTATTTTCCTGAATTCTCTTACTTATGATAGATTAACTGATTGTGACTGATGAAATCCGACCGTAGTTTCATGTAATTATTCATTACTGTATGGTGTAAATTATATTTCTCACTCATAGAAAAGGGTTAATTGGTTTTTTTTCCTACAAAATATTTTTAATCTATGATTTTTTCAGTCAGACAGTCAGATGCAACGTAGAACTTCATGCGTAAGTACATCAGTTCATGTTGCCATACCACATCAGCACAGAGGTGTAATTGTCAATTCAAATCCAATAGTAGAAGAGGTAGTAAAGGTATTGGAAGTAATCGCAGAGGTCAGGATTAAAAGATATTATTCAAGAAGTATGATTCAATGAGAAAAGCTTAGAAAGTCAAAACTAGAGGTGTTGAAGAATCCAGAAGATTAGGATTTGAGAGAACACAAAGAATGAATGCACCTGCGCCATTGCAAACGGTTTTGAGCCATGTCATTCAGGGTCTCTAAACATCGATTACTAACATCTCGCGGACCCCAACCAGGTAGTCGACAACTACCGACATGGCTAAGTCCACTCATCAATGACTGCATGGATTTCTGCCATGTTTTGGTTTGGCCGCCCCTAGCCTTCTTCCAACTTATTCCTACACTACAAAACAAAGCTCGTCGAGGCAGTCGATGGTTAGCCATACGCAGCACATGTCCCAACCACGTCAACTGTTGAAGTTTCATTACTTCATCTATTGATCTGCCAATCTTACCCAGCACTCGTTTCCTAATAACTGCGTTGCTAAATGATTTTTTAGTGTATCTAGGAGCTTACTTCTATTGTTTAATTAAATTTTCCTAGTCAGTATGATGGGTCTAACATCCGTTACAAGTTCAGTAACTGGTCTTCTAACGGTTGATATGAAGCTATCAGTTTCAATCCCACTTTCATCCATGAACTATGAAAAATCATTATCATTGAGGGATTTGAAGAGATTGTGGAATTTAAGATTAGTTATCATCGCAAAATAACACCAGGTGTTTTATGGTATTGAAAATTTATTGAAGTCAGTAATATAAGCTTTTATGTCTCAACTCAATGGTGTAAAGTTATTATACTTTTATCAAAGTCATCACATGATATCCTGTGTAAAATTGTGTTTGTGAGCTCTTCAAAAGTTCTAATCCAAAATACAATAACTATTCACTGCTCTCTGACCATAATTGGTCAGTCAATAATCGAGACTAAATTTCAATGAAAAAAAATCGTCAAAAGAATCATTTATTGATAATTGTGTCGGAAAACCGTTCATTTTTGTCGTATAACCGTACACAATTAAATTTGTTTAATGCACACTTAAGTGGAGCAGCAGGTAATGAATATTAAGTTCTCCATTAAATGTAATTTATTGATTCAGACTTTAGTAATAGCATATTCTAGAAATTCTGGGTTCAAGAGTCAATTTGGTTGTTCTAAGATTGTCAGGTGCAATAATTTTCTGAAATAAATATGTTAATCTTTATACTATAGGGACTCACTAGGTATCCTATTATTAAGAATGTTGTCTCCCTTCAGAAGAAAAGATGGTTTTCTCAACAAAAAACAAAGATAAATGTGAAAAAAAATCCAGATAAAAAAAAATGAAATTCTAGTTCAGCAGCACATAGTTGACAATCAAAGTACATTTGGAACGTAGCTTAAAAATTATGGTTATGAAGTCCAATTATTGTTTACTAACAATAGTTATCATTTTATATGGAGATAATAAAGGGTCAATTAAATAAAAGTTCAAATAGACAGATGGTGATAATTGTAAATGAAGGAGAGAGAAAATTAACGTCATATGAAAAGAATTAGAAAGGGTAGGAAAACTGTCATATTACCATGGGCTTAAAGACTACCAGGGTAAATTCAAGGTTATGACAAACTGTTTCTGTACCCATAAGGGGAAAGGGTTTAATTTTCGAATTGCCAAGGTCTCCATAAACCTCAAAATTCGTCCTTCAACATTTCTATACAATGTTTTGAAGGCTGGCTTGGTGTCAATCTTATGCCCTGTCTCAATTATGTGTTTTGCGATCGATGAACATGGTTTTCTATTTCCCACGCTAATCGGCTCATCTGTTATCATTGTTATTACGGCTAGCTTCTTGTTTTAATAAGCAATAACTTGCTTTTTACTCCATGAAATTTTAAAATTGAACTGGAAATGATTTTATGAAGTGTATCCTCTGAGATAAGATTTTTGGTGGTCACTGTTTTAGTGCAACACCTGGTTAGTAGATTTCGTGACATCGTGTTAAAAGATACATTTAAGCAGTTCTTGTATTTTGTCTTTCTTGAATTCCTATAATAATTGTAATCGCTAAGCAAGTGTTTGGAACAAAGGTACATTTGAAAGGTTGATTCATCGGAATCTCTGAAGTTACTTGATGCGTTTTTTACTGTACAAAGTAAGCTGATCTTATTTTGAGCACCAATAGCGTATAGCAGACCATCTAAAGTGTGAGTGGCTAGCAAGATATTCAATTTGGCAATACAGTTTACTTCATAAACATTTAGCACGATAAAATGTTTCATCAATAAATGTGTCCATAAAATTCACCTTCCATTTATCCATTTTCAGTAAAACTACGACAAAACTTAGTATAATAATCTTCACTTACGTCATGTATATCAAGTTTCGGACGTTCTGATGATGTATCCTTTTCAGTTTTACCGCTTTCAATATCTTTCCATCGAGCTCTTGCACTTCTTGTAGCCTCGGGTGCAACTGTAATTGATTCATCAATAAATGAACTTTTTTTACGATTCTCTTCATCAATACTCTAAAACATGCATTTTCGAAAAAATGATTATTATAATCCTGATCTAACAACAGAAAATAACAACGTCTCAGTTAAGCGAATGCTAACATTTTTAAAAGTTTATTCAGTTCGATATTTTATAGTATGTAAGTCATTTGTCTAGGTCTCTGTTTCCTCATCTTCCCAAAAATCTCCCTGTATGATAAATTTAATGGTGACACTTTTTACTCACTTTGGTAATGAGCTTTATATTATCTATAAATTATTGTATTTTAGAACCAAACCAATACTATCATGACGAGCACATTTGTTTTGATAAAATACTGAAAGTTGCAAGTTCACAGGACTGATAGTCTAATTCAAGTAAATGACCTCCAAGTTCCAAACAAGTGAATTTTATAATAGGTGAACCAACAGTCTAATGATTTAGTATACAAAAACATGCCAGAACATTAATGCACCACATTGTTCAAATAACGTGATATAACTGAATTAATCAATCAATAAACGAGGATGAAAATCTATGCCTTTAAAATATCGACCACTAATTCATTAACGTTCATTTTAACGAAATGTGTATTAAATCAAAGTCAGTATTATTTATAATTGGATATTTGTTTAACATTACCATAGTTCTAATAAAAAGTTTTAAATTTAATAATTAGTAATTTTTTGATTCCTTCATCTAATCATATCTACTTAGAGGTTCTTTTATATTTTTTCAACCTTCTTTCAGTAGAATTACTCTGACTTAAATGTTTAATAATGTTCATTTGACCACTATCAGTGCAACTAAAGGTACATCATTTTGGTGGAGCTGTGTCCTTTGATATGATTTCTGAGATGTTTTCCACATAAACTAGGATGATCTCTGTTCTTCGACATTACTTCATTTCACTTTATAAAGACTAAAACACATAGCAGTGAAAAAGGACATACAGAATCATATAAAAAATGACCCCTGGCAAAAGTAAAAACATCAAACTCTTTAGAGTGGATGCTTTTTTCTATTTGCACAAATACGAAAATAATCTACCGGAGAAATGATGAATATTTCATGGCAAAACAATACATGAACAGAAATTCAGCCAGGTAAAGGTCAAAATTATGAACAATGGGGATTCTGAGAATGATCGGGAATTTCTATAAGCATAAAAATCAAATCTATCTGCAATCAACAAACATATCTACAAAGATTTGACCTATAAATCTACACGAAAAGGTCAATCTAATAAGACAGTCAGCAAGTTTGTAATAAAGTAGGAAAATACAATCTACGAAGACAAGCAGTCACAAACAAGATCAATAGAAATTACCGATTTGGTGCTTGAAAAACAATTGAAAATTCTACATTTCTCGAGTGTATTCATGATGCTGTTGAGAACAACATTGAAAGTTTGTCAAGTAAATCATCTTGATCAGAAAACATCAAACAAAAAGTAGCGAAGATCTGATCTAAATTTATTCTTCATTATTTTAATACTACATCCAGTAACTGAACTGTTCTTCAAGGTTCTACTGCTGCAAGCCTACTTGGTCAGTGATTGCTTCTAACGAGACAAGCAGTTTCGTGTATTAGTTACTACCATTGTAATACATTTATAAATATTCATAAATGAGGTATTTGTAACTTTGCTCTACTGTAATTCATGAATGCAAACATTTTTCGGTAAACTTTGTTCACTTTTTAGAGTAGTTCTCACGTTAAACACACGTTCAGAATAAATGAAAATTGGGGAGATTTGTACATACTACTGATATTTCGTGAGTAGAATGATGCATTTTTTGTATGCATAACGAAATTACTGTCAGTGTATTATAAAAATTGGTACTATTATTTATTTCAAAACTACGCTGTTTTCTTATTACTTTTCTACCGCATCTGCTTAATTATTGTAAACCAGAACACCACTGTTCCAGTGCATAACATATTTCACAATCCATTTATGTTTGTTTAGTTTCAAGTTTACCTTGTTTACCTACAGACTATCAGTTTAAAATATTTGCTCAACATCATTTCTACTTAAACTAAGTGATTTCCTGCACTTTAGAGTCATTTTTAAATCATTAATCAACAACAATGGCTAGTTTTGTTTCAAATCAATACTCTCCTAATCTCAAAATCAATTTTTAACTTTTTTCACTTCTAAACATAGATTACTAATGGATAATATATTTGAAATAGAAACATTTTCAATTCTTCAATGTCGTTTCCAAAAGTATTTCTGAAGTTTTTGTAGCCCAAAGAGATGTTCAATCGTTACCGTCATAATTCATAAATAAAAAAGTGATCTATTTCAGCATGCATCAATATTCATACTGTATTAGATGTGATCTTAAAACTTGAGTTTCACTAGTAGATATTTATGAAATAACGGTTTTATAACAGTTAAAGCCAGTTGATGTTTCGCGACAATTATGATGATCGAATTCTTTTAATGTAGATTTATTTAAGTTATAATCGGAAACCAGAAAAGAATATTAACATATTTGAAGTTGAGTGATAAAACTGTATACTACAATAAGTTTACAAAAATATATAATGAAGTGATACAAAGCCTACCTGTCCACCAGTTGCTTCCATATTTCGAAATTTTGCCCTTAGATTTTTTGTTTTTTCACTGATTTCTTTTAAATCAACTGGTTCAAACATATCATCCGATGTCACCACATCCGGTGCTCTTGGTTTTGGATTACTTTCCAGTATACCAACGGCAACACCATCCGGTGGTGGAGTGAATTCTTTCGGTTTCCTTGGCCCATTTTCTACTTTACTCATTGTAGCTTTTGTAGCTTCTTCAATAAATTTTGTTTTGGCTGATTCCACACCGGCATATTTCATTTTTGGCGTAGATTTCTTTTTACTCTTCTTTTTATCATTGTTAACTTCACCTGATTCAAATTTATTTCTAATATTGCCCATTCGTCCACTACTGGCATTTGATGTTCTTCGTTCAGGCTCCGAATTTTTAGTATCCTTATTTCCATTTTCATTTTTGTCATCTACATTTCGATAAGATATTAAAAATGAGTAATCTTCATTGCTAAGTAACTAGTTTTTATTTTTATGATTAAACGAAGCATATAGAAATAAATACATGCTGTTGAAATGGGTTGCCTAATTAGTACAAATAAATTAACATTCATTGTTTGTTTTCTAGAAGTTTCCAAAGACATAATCATTCGCCTCTATGATAATGTAATAATCTACTAACAAGATATTTCAGAATGTAAGAATTCACAATCTTAGTAATTCGTTGACACTCTTAAAGGTTAACTGACATTCTAAAGCATAGCCCTTGGGAGGGTGTACGTTCCGGCTGACCTGGTGGGACAAACTCGATCTTTAGCTTCATGTGGGGTTTGGAGTCTCCGATCGATTGTATCAGCGCAAGGTAGTTGGAGGCCAGATGATTGGAACTGCTGCTGGGTGGCTCGGTAATCCGTTTCGGGATGCCAGGTCTAGCTGGGTAAGCCGGCCTTGCCGATCGGGGATTGTGGGTAGTGGATTGGTTGAAGGGATCGAGTTGATTCGTAAGTGCCCGAACGTGGGCCACTGCTCGTGTGAGTGCTTTTTGGACGTCCACTTGTCTGCAGACCAATCTAGACACACGTAATTATGATTTGGTCGTTAGAAATGTGTTCAAAGCATTATACTTTAAACGTTCGCTTCTGTTATTCTCTTTGTCGTAGTGTGAACCATCTTTACTGATCAATGAACCTTGTGCTTTCTCAGTGAGTGAAACGTTCATTTAAAATTTATGACCTTAGTTATATTACCCACTAGTGTTCAAAACAGATGAAGTTTTACAGTTCATAATACAGCTGTTCAAATGATAAGTATTGATAAATACGAGCTCTAGTGTATTATTACAATTGCGCTAACATTATATATCTGTATATTAGTTATTTTTAACTGCAGATAAATAGATACATTTTGCCTAGGCCAGTATATTGAATTGTATTAAGAAAGCTTATAAAATAGCACTTTTTAAATGAATGAAATTATATTTCATTCGAATCGCTTATTTGTTAAAGTGTAATAGCTTTTGCATGTAATGAATTATTGGGTTATTTGTATTATATCGAATTACATATATATATATATATATATATATATATATATATATATATATATATATATAGGTTAAATTTAGTATAAAATATGTCAATTGATTATACACATGTTTGTATGAACATGTTTCATACACGAAGTTTAGCTTACCCTTAGAAATTTTGGAAGAAATATCAAGAGAATTGTTTTTTCGTTGAATAGTCATACATTAACACATACATTGATTCACTTATACTATTGTAGGTCATAATTTAAAAAAAAAACCGCTAAAGCTATAAATGTATGAACTATATGAAAATGATCATATCAAGAATATAATCTAATTTATTGAAAATGAACAGTATTTAGATCACAGTGAGTAATCATTGTGAACTGTCTTGTTTTGAAAGAAATGTACAAAACAAACAAAGAAAATTGCGCTAACCAAATTTAAAAGCAAGTAAACAAGTTTTAATCATTTAGAATAAAGAAAAAACATCAATAATAATAATTTATAGATTGACTGAATATTAGAAAAATCATAATTGTACATAGACTAAACTGTACACACATGCATAAATATCTATGCGTGAATTGATTTATTCAGTCTATGCAATAAAATTAAGTAATGTAGATGATTCATAGAAGTTCCCGAAAATGCCATTCATAAAAACACAAAATCATGAATTATAGACAGGATGGAATAAGAAAATTTTCAGGACATATGAATCCAATGGTATGAATATAGTGCTAAACTGACTGAAAATAAATGCTTTTCTATTTTATTCGGTCAGTTTTGGTAAAATCACATACAGTAGAAGGTGATCTCTGGATTAAAGGGCAGGGCAAAAGTAGGAAGGGAATCGTAAGCCAATAGGAACTCAGCTACTGATTCAAATTTAGTATTGCCTAGTGAAAGTGAGATCGGTTAGAGACATAATATATACTTTGTCAAACCAATGACTTTTTTAATTATTTAAACTAGCTTTCAAAGTTTGACTGATTTTTAAGTTTTAGTCACTTATTTTCATAAAGCCTAAAATTATGACAGGTTTAAGGTCAACAGCAACCAATCAAGATCGGGGCTAACAGAACAGTCTACTGGTCGAACTTGGAGGAATTCGAATACTTCACTTCTATCTGAAGTTTGTGCTGATGATTTTGTTTAGAAGAACTGTGAAAGCTCCACAACCAAAACATGGAGCTCAGAGAACGAAACACTACCACAGCCTAAGATTACTTTACGTACTTATCACTAAATGGCAAGAAAAGCTAAATGTTAATCAAGAAAGATTATCCGTTTTCCAGCTTTTCATAAATACATCAGTCAGTACAGGCTATTGTGAATTACTCACGTCTACTTCTCCACCGTCCTGATCTAAACATAATTTATAGACTGAAATTCAATGTTTCTAGTGATAAGATTTAGTAATTGTTTCCTTTCTACCTTAGGAAATTGTCCCTTAACTAAACACTGGATAAAATGATGCAAAATAACTTATTAGATAGATATATCGGTGATTTCGTTATCAAATTATGACCAACACTAAAAACGCGTCCTAAATATTGATCACATCTAGTCGATGTGTCACACAACACCATGATAAACTTCGTTTTGATGTTAAATATCGGAAACTAATCGCCAGAAATTCACAAGACTACAGTTAGTTCTTCTTAGTCGTACGTACATTTACTCTTGACCTTTAAGAATTGATCACTTTTAATTTTATTGTCATGAATGTTATCAATAAACCAAATCAAAAGCACTTAATTCTATAATCATTACGTTTAAACCTATATATGTGTATAGCTATTCCAAATGGCTCAGTAACTGGCTGTAGGAACACTGAATAACTTATTATTTAGAGTTGATCCACATGGCATGCAGTAATAATTTTAAAAATTCCAACAAGTTTAAACATTACTATAATTGACTGTTCATTATAATCGTAGATTTGTTCGATCATAAATATATGTAGCCTAGGATTAATTTTTTTAAACTTCACGTCCAACGTTAGCGAGAATGTAGCTGTCCCAGCTTAACACTAAGAATAACTTGCATTTTCAGTAAAATGCACTTCAAAATTATTTCCTTAAGAATTCGACTTACACTAACCGTTATTCTATTTTTTACATACACCTCCATGCATATCTACAAAAATTACAAATGAATTAAATTAAATCATGCAACTAGTTGTGAATATAGATAGTAACAGATAGCTTTATAAACCATTTCATCTGAGATAAACGGAATACCGATTAATCTGTAGCACCTCACATATATTTTGTACATTTATCATTCATTGTTGAGCTTGTATGCGCATGTATGCTTGGGCATTACTTACCACCTACACATGTAATTATTTGACTAGCTTCATCGATTGCCTGTTTAAATAATTCGATGGCTATGTCGACTATAATATATATTTGAATTAAATCCGATATCTGTACCAATCATAAAAATATGTTGAATAATAACGAAAGCCAGATGCCACAAATCTTTGGAGGACAAATCTATTGTTACCCATGATTAGATGGAAATAACATTTTTGTCTTTGTTGGATTTTGAGGAAATAACATGCTGGGAACCCTAACAAAGTAGATAGACTTTTCAAAAATATGTTCTTCATTTATGTTGGTTTCAAACTTCAGTCACATGTTATCTTGGGTGGAAAACATAGGCTTTCTACTTACCCGAATTTCAGTAAGTCAAATTAAACATGCTGATATTTTTTTTGGTTTGATCGCTATCACATACGAAATAACTATACTCTACGCGTGAAGAAATTTTCAAATTACCTTAAGATTTCTAGTAACAATGGAGTTAATTTTATGAGGATTTCTCAAAACATCATCTGTAAATGTTTTGATGAATTGATTTCCGAAAAAATAATATATTCTGTATTTGAGAGCTAATAAAGATCAGTTTGAATTCTTGACTGATCTCCAAAGAGATTTAAATCAAATGGAAAACTATTGAGAACCGATTGGTACTAAAGAAATGTTTCTTCTATGTTTCGGACTCCTTGGTAGTACACAATCATCAGTCAGTTTTGAAGAGAACTCAAGAACTTTCAACGCAGTAGTAAGACTGATATTTCCAGATCACTAACTCAGAACTCAATGGTCTGTATTTGGCACAATAAAAAATAGCTGTCTAACTCCAACTGTCATCAATTTTCACTGAAAATGTGAAAATATACTTTGAATCCAGTCACACAAATTCATTGAAATCATAATGTAAGTCACTGATTAACGATTAAGCTGATTAGTTTTATAATGCTTGATACAAGATATTAAGGCCATGCAGAAAATAGAGTATAGGATTGTGAGCATCCCTGATAAAGTTCAAATCATTCGTCCATGGCTATAAAAGGATTTATAACCATTGTCAGTCCATGAAGAAAACTATTTTGAAGGAAAAACTCCGTTGATATTACAGCCTTTTTGCGAAAATATAAATTCAGTCACAAGATATCTTGGATTACTTTTTCCGTCATGTATATTTTTAAACCTATTTGAATAAATCTGTTATCATAAGATATAATAACCTTGATGCTATTTCCCCACTTATTTTCTACACTATGAAGAAAAACAAACATTCAAGGAACTATCACATGCACATACATTTGTTCATTTCATACCACATACAAGAGTGATAAACAAAATTAAACAGTAGAATGAACATGTCTATACACTTCTTTCCACTTATACACATGCACAATTGCATATAAGAATACATTAAAAGTTTCTATCTTTTTCCCTCCTGATTATAACACATACCGATCTCTTGTTTTTGCGCTTGTATTGTTGTTGATGTCAATGTGTTATCTGTGGAAAAGATATGAACAAAATTTTTAAAGAGCATGATACTAAGTAAGATACAGTAAAAATTAGGCCAAAAATTAAAATTTAGTGATTACGAAAGAAAATAAATGAATAAACAGTTGATTACTAAAAATAAATCAGTCTATTTATCCCCACATTCATATTGTACATTGAAAATTCATGCAGTGACCAGTTTAGAATAAAAAAGAATTGACCATACACAATTGATCTAACTGAACATGTGACAATCGCATTTTTGCAAAGAAAAAAAAAGACTGAAACATCCCATAAAAATGATGCAGTGAATTATAACAACATTTGCTATAATAACAGTATTCATTCATCTTAACATCACTCCAAATATTTAAAACTATTTACAAAACAATAAACACAAACCGGAAATAAAATGTTTGGATAAACGGAAACTAGAAGAAGGGAATAAGTGTGTGTTTAGTGTTACTTAGGAGAATTAGATTTTGTTTTACTGAAATCGGAAAAGAAAGCTGATGTGAATTTTCATTGCTTCATTATTTTTACAATTGACATTCCTGCTGTAATCATTTATGAAATAAATTCAATATTCTTATTGTACACTGAGAATGTCCATATTATACCGAAAATGTATTGCACAATACCAGCTTCCATTTTGAAATATTGCACTTTTATCACTGAAATTTTTTAAAACAAAATATCATGAGATTAATAAGGACAGTGATCAGAATACATTATGTTATATTGAAATACTTTATGATTTCAGTTAATTTCAGAGAAAAATTTCCTTTACAAAATTAAAAACGAACTAATACCAAATGATATCAGCTAAAATTTAACCGAGAATATCAAAACAATGAGCATTTGCTTTGATCTAGATGAAAATCAGGAGGAAACAGATGTCCTATGCCTATTGATTTTTATTGACCCGTTAGGTTGAAAAAAGTGAAGACAAATGTGTAAATCAGGACTAAAAGTTACAAATGAGTTCACTGGTCAACTGTAAATAGTGATGGCAGCTAGATATCAAACTTAATAATTTTTCAATCCCAATAGTCATAGAGGTATGCTTAAGATTATAAGTAATCTTTAAGGATCAGTGATTACTAGGCACTCATTTTGTTTGTAAGTGGGTTGTTTTACTGAGTTAAAATAAACGATGTTGCTAACATTTTGTAATGTATTACGAAAATGATTTACTATGGAACTATACGTCACTAACTGAAATTTTTTAAGTTATGGTCGGTTGATTATTCGTCTCGTCGATTCCAACAGTTGACTGAATGTCTATTACACTTGGAGTGTTGACAATGATGGAGCAATTTAATTCAAAATATAACTATAAATTAAGTAGAATAGTATAAATGTACAATACGTTTTCATGATATGAAACTCAAATAACTCACGTCAATGTCTCCTTACACATTGAACACTTGAAACAATTACGATGTATCACTTGGTCAACTAAATCATAACGTTCGTTCACGGCCATTCGTTTATGACAAATTGAACAATTTTCTATTGAATTCAAATCACATTCCATTAATTGGTTTATTATCTGAAGAAGAGAGGAAATCAAAATTTATATATAGATTAGAAGAACAAATATCAGATTGTAAATATCGTTCAATTAGAATAAAATCCTCTACGGTTACATTAATAAAATGATTGGATATCACATCAATGAACGTTTCTTTTTCCCAATATAAAATTCCACGAAATATTATTTTGATATACAATACAGATATCTTCAAATATCACACAGAAGCATTAGGCAACCAATAAACTAGAGCAGCAAACAATGTTTTCATCAGTTTCCACTTATAAATGAAGTAGTATTTTTCTGCGTAAATGAGAAATATGCAATCAATTACGGTGATGTATGAGTTAGTGATGACTGTGAAAAGGACTATATAATACACAATAGTTACTGCTACACTTCGCTGTTCACTATCAGTTGGCTCTTTTTACTTAACATGATCAGTTTTGAAATCTTTGACCGTTATCATCAATTCACAAATTGCCTTAACTGGTTGAATATTTTTCCTGTCTGTGCTTAAATGTTGCTGTATACTACAGCCAAGCCTGATGAGGAAATAACTGAAAGTAATTGTTTAGCTCATAGATGTTGTTTTAATTTACGCAACATAAATTTTTAATCAATGCATAACAATTATAGTGTTACAGCGTGTGATCCTGTTTAGCCACAACGGCTGATTTATCTAACCTTACAGAGGTAAAAGAAAAGACAACGGAGATTTCATTACTAAAAACGGAAAAAATCACCATGAATACTTTTAGGTAACACAACTGGCCAGATTATCATTCGCAGGTGATGGGTGATAATCCACTCAACAAAAAGAACTCTTCCGTATACACATACGATCCATACATTCTATAAAATTTCGAGATATTTTGTATGTCTAGCTTTGATAGCCATATCTTTTAAAAAGTGTTGCTGAACACATACATTGTTTTTCAAAAAACTCACTTCAAAGTATTATTTCCAAGATGCTTAAAAGTATATTTACCTAACCTCCATTACTATTAGAGCACAATTTTTTCAGAATTATTTCTTTTGTCTGAGCTTGCATTGGTAAATATTTACAAGATCTTCTTTGTACGTTAGCGCTGTCAAAATATACTGTAAATGTTAAGTCTACAGGCCATGGATCTCACTATGAAACAGTAAAATATAGAAACGAATTCTAGGTGTTTACTTCTGATTTGTAAAGGGATCAATGTCTGTTTCCTATGACTCTCGGCAGACAGATGAATTTGTATGGAAAATTCAGACATTATGGCTGGATTCTCTAATCTCTACTGTCACTGAAATTGTTGATATACAGCTTGTTCACTATAATAGGTAATGGGGAATAATGAATTCCTGATGAAATGAGGTAAAGAATTTTATAACTTGTTGTAGCTATCTTATGAGATCATTACCATATTAGCATAAGTTTCAAAAACGCAGTCTAAAAGTGACTTTTTGAAATAGAATTCAGAGTTAAACAAATGTCATGGATAAATATGTTTGTAAATTAGTAATATCTGTGAAATCTTAACTAACTTACAGTTTTGCTTCCAGGCTGTACGGATTCAATCGGTTTTTCAATCCATATTCCAAGCTCTTCATTACCGATTACAGAGACTGGCCGTGAATTATTCAACTTGATTTGTGGTGCTTGTGGTGTTAGTAATGGTGAGGGTGTTCGTCTGTTCATTTTATAAGCTTCAGCGTTGTTTGCGAATTGTAATGAGCTTAATTCTTGGGTGGATTTATTGAACTGAGAACTTGTTGCACGTATAGGTCCACTAATGACTGGGCGTGGATTAGACTGACTTCGTTGTTTCTTATCAGATTTTGTTCGGGGCCGATGTAAGTTTATTTTCGAAGCAGCTGAAGTGAATATTCGATGGGGCTTTTTCACATCTACATTGGTTCCCAGCACGTTTGTGTTGTTTAATTTATGATTATCGTGGCCGTGAATATCACGTAGATCAGGTGTACTTTTTAAGTGAAGTTTACGTTCATTATCACCATAATTTAAATTGACTTCTCGTTTATTACTGTCACGTAGCAGTTTTAAACGACATTTATTTGCCTTATTTGAAGTTACTAAATGTAAAGGCATTTTATAAAATCTATTTTCTAATTTGGTAAATTTCTTTTTAAATATAATTTAATTGTATAACAAAAGGTATAAACATACTAAATGAAATGTTAATATTATAAAAGCACCATTATCAAAAATTAAAATGAAAAAATCAAATCAGTCATTCCATAATGTAATTATAAATCATGCAATATTGAACAGAAGCTCTCTGTTATCTGACAATGTGACAGAACAGCAGAATCAGTATGATGTTCATTGTTCAACAAATCATGCAATTATGTTTTTAACAAAAGATGCAAAAGATGTTCAACTATCAAGTAATGTTATTTCATTTGAAAATAAAGTAATTTCATTCTGCTAGATAACTTAAATTTATTCATGCTATTTATGACTAAGATAGGGCAAGGTGACTAGTTTAAAATTAAAATAATAAAGAGATTAATTTGATCATTTTATGTATCTGAATTGAACGTTGAAGTATCAGTATGTATGATCACACTTTAATTGAATTGTAGCGTTTTTAAATAACAGTAACAAATATTTTCATATACAAAGTTTTTTGGAATGAAAAATATTTTCTTTGTCAATGAACAAAATAGGGAATTCAGTCAGTGTTATTCAGATTGTTTTCAGCTTTTAGGGACTATTAATACTATACAAGGAAAATAATGAAATCACTGTTTTAAACATTTTGAATTCTTTAGAAAGTTACGAAATGTAGCAACTATATTTTTAAACAGAATCTAACGAGAGCCCTTTTAGGTGTAACGTCAAACAGTAAATGAACATGAGTAATTGATGTAGCAAAGTGACTTCTTTTGAATAGCTTAACTTCACTATGTACCTCAAATGTAGAAATAGTTGTCAACCTTATTTAGACGGTTTAGAGTATCAAAAGAAAATCGAAAACTTGTTAAACTATTCCGTTATTTTCTCTGGTTAAAAGACTAATTTGTGATGTTCTTCATGTCAATGAATATTACAATTTCTTCTATTAGATTCCTTACTTGATTCAGTATTTTCAAAGATAAGCTAGTCAAGTAAAATGTTAAGATTGTACTCTCACATTTTCGGTTAGTTTTACATTGGTTTCTAGAGTAAATCCGCTCTAAGAAAAGGATTTATTTTATCAGAAAATCATATTAGAAAGTAGAACAAACAACAATTCACTTTTTTCCTCTAAATTCTATCATTTTTCTTCAATTAAGGCGGTTTAGATTATGTAACTCCAATTATACATAAGTTATGTTCACATAAGTTACATTTTCATTAACAAATTCAAATCAACCATGATTTAATCAATAGAAGAAAGGTATTTACCGTAAAGAATGCAGAACAACGATATAACACCAAAAGATGAATAAAGGCCATATAAGACACAAATACTTTTCATGTTTTCATATACAGTGATATTCAAGGAAGTAAACAAAATCAGAAAAACAAATTAATCAGTTCAAAGAACCAAACTAAACAGGAAAACAGTTTTAAAATCTTTTTAATGTCTGTTCAGTCAGTTTTCATTTTAGTATTCATATGTATATGTTATGTGAATGTTGTACTAATTATATAGATCATAGTCACAATATATATTTCCAATAAAGCCTGCATTGTACTTTGATTCATTTATACTATTTTCTCACAAAAAATCCTAAAGTACGTAATGTATTGTAAATAATTTCGATAAACTCTAAAATTTTATAATGTCCTGTCAAATTAGAAGCGTGTAGATTATCGGTATTCTAACAGTTTCCTATCATGTTCTTGAAGTGTATCAGGGACGAGCCTCTTAAACATATTGTTAATATTAACGATATATTCTTCTTAAGATTGCAAGTGACAAAGTTTACTACAAACATTCGGAGATTATGATATTTAATTGTAATCGCATTGAACAGACAAGTGAATTGTACACGATAATTCTGTGGATAACTACTGATTGTTATTAATCACATTCAACTGCAGTACATTATCTAACACAGTAAGTACAACCGGGCTAACTAAGTACAATTTAACTTGTTCAGTTTTTTGTCTCTCCACATCCTAATCATATGTATTTCTTCTATGCGGTGTGTAAAATAATATCAAAAACTGTGAAACATAAAATGCTTATTATTTTCATTAAATAACAATGCGATTCTCTGTTAACTAAAATAATGATGGTCAGCATTAGCAACCACGTGGATACATAATAGTAATAATAATAAGAGAAAAAATCATGCAGAACAATGATAAAAATTCTTTGTAAAATAATAACAATACACATGACTGATTCGAATACTTACCTTTACTTTTCATATCATGAAGAGTAGTCCCCTAAGTTGAATAAAAAAAACATAAGGATAAACAAGAATAAACTATTAATCAATGATTAATGATAAAAGTGTAGAATATTGAATTTAGAAAAAAGTGCTTACAATAATTGTTTTTAATAAGATTGTCAATATTACAAAATGAAAATGATTAAATTATTTGAAAATCAACTTTTTTTAAAAATCTAAACAAGTAGGTTTGCAATAGTAAATATCTTTCCTGTAAATCCACATTGATCAAAGTTTCTAGCTGAACAGTAAAGCATCTTCTGATAGAGATTTTAGCTAATAAAATAACTCAGCCTTAATTCAACTGTACTAAAATCTACAATTTAATGTACTTTTTGTCATTGTATAGTTTTCCTACTTTTTGAATAGATTATTTATTTAACATTGACATTAGCTGTAGAGCAGTTAATAATCAGGGAACGCCGAACAGCTGTTTCATCTATGTTCACTATTCTTCTTTACTTCACACTTACAATCCTCCACTCACAGAGCAAAAGACCTATGGATATCACGGAAAGTATGATAGTTTTAACTTACCGATTTAGAATCCAGTGGTCTATATTTCTAACCTCACTTAATCGAGATACAGAGTTTTGGTTGTTTAACTGTTAGACCACCATTAGGAACATGGAAGCACTGGATGGACGTTTCCTCCTAGTATGGGACTCATCAGCAGTGCGCATCCATGAGTCTCATACCAGGACGAAACGACCGTCCAGCACTTCCAGGTTTCTAATGATGGTCTAAGAATGATTGACTGATGATTTCAAATGTGTAAAAACACTGATCTCCATAACTGTAATTGAAAATTTAACTGTTATTTTATTTTTGATAAAAAGCTTGCCTCCAGTTTGACTGAACTGACTGATGAATGTTCATTGTTGATGCATTCAGATAGAATCTCCAATCCATCAAACTATAAAAACTGTGTATTTGTAGATGGCAGTCCTCACAGACTGACATACAATTAGGTACCAGTGAGAACAAGTAATGGAAATGATCGGATTTAGAAATCTGAACCACTAAAGTCCAGCTCAGTAGTCTAAGAACCAAACACTCACCACAGTCCCTTAAACCTCTGGATTCGATTACTGATGAACTCATAAGTGCACAATACTGAACAACCACATTTTAAGACAGAATGATGATTTAGCGCTCATCAGGTTCAGTGGGTTACATCCAACCTCTACTAAATGTACTAACAAAGTTATATAGTTGTTCATGAATGAGACTAATTTAAAATGATTATCGTAAAATTTTGTAATACCTCTCTGTCGACAGAAAAAAAATCTTAAAAGTAATTATTTTTTGTTATCAGTAAGCTTTGACAGATGTAACGAAAATGACTTGTTAATTAAACTGATCCATGTAAATTTCCGAGGCTTGATATTTGAAACAAACCATCAAAACTAATAATACTAATAATGTGTGTTAACAGAAATAAATCTTCAACAGAAGTTTCTTATTAACATTAAATAAGACAGATTCCTTTGATTATTCAGTTCAAAAAAATTTTATACCACGAAACAGAATAACAATGAAGTAATAATCAGTTTTCAAAATCATCACTGATTAACTCAGTTTATGAACCTATCCATCAATATCGTATGAAACAAAGTTTTCTAAAGGTTTCTCACAAGATTTATCGAAATTTTGTCAATATTTCCCAATAATAATTGGGATAAATACCAATTATATCAGCTTCTTTGAATTTACTGATGAAGCTTTTAGTAAAGGTATATTTACAGAAAACTAACTGAAATCACATTGATAACTGTAATAGTTACTGCGACAGAACAGAAATCTCTCTAATTAGTAATAAAAACTCTTGGCAGAGGTTCACATTCATATATCAACTTCTGGTTTTCAATCATGTACTCTGTATATCAAGTCAATTAAATCGACTTCAAATGTGAATCTAAGCTAATTGCTGATAGTTCAGCACGATTACTTTGATTGTGATTATACTTATAGTGTTGATAATTTCGTATTTGGTCATAATTTTGATTTATTACTGAGTGTAAGATGTAACATCAATCTCAGATGATGAAATATATCTCTTATTATGTATAAAGTAGAATGCAATACTAAGTTATCTTTTCAACAGAAAATCAACAGTAAAGTAATAATGGGTTGATCATATGTTTGTAGGTAGAAATAAGTAATAGGATTAAAATTATGCTAATATTTTTAGTTCTGAATAAAAAAAGTGGCCATAAAAATGTTTAGTCTTTATGAATTACTGTTGAATTTTGAACATCGATGCGTGTGCACTATTTAAAAAAATGAATGCATTATCATTAATTCAAAAAGATTATTTCCAATCTAACTGTTGGTTAGAATTATAATACCAGATGTATTTTTGACTCTCAACATTTTCAGCTATTTATATTTTAATGTGTACTCTTAAATAGTCTGGAATTAAAGTCAGTCAGTTTTTATTGTCGAAATGTTCAGTTCTTAACAAATCTCACTAGGTATTCACCTTAAATGTAATTTTCAATGGACACAATTAAATTGCACATATATATTTTCATATTGAAACACTGTGTAATACAATTCAACAAAACATTTTGGTAATATTGTTATCATGTTTTTTATTTCTATAAATTAGGTAGGAGCTATTTACCTCGTAAACAGTCTTCATAGCTAATCGACAAGGACAAATTTATCTAAATAATCTTTAATAAAAATAATTGTTCTTACTGACATATACCACAAACTGAAATTTTGAATTTCATTATTGAAAAATATCAATATCATGAAAATTCTTCAAGTGTCATGCCTTTGAAATCTTAGAAATAAAAAAAAGCAATTCTATGGAATCACAATTACTCATCGTGAATTAATTAACTAAAATGAATTATAGTAGTATTGAAGATCTAATAGGGTTGATCAACTCAATAATCAAATAATTCAGTTAATAACCATAATCATTAGCTTGTATTTATCTTAGTAAATTACTAATAAACTCTTTGCTGAAACCGTGAAAAAATTTGCAGTATTTTGATGTCAGACTTCTTGGGGAACGTTATTAAAGAGAGAAGTTGATAATTAAGTCTCAAGTATATTGAAATAAGTAAACGTTGGGCGTATGCAATATTCATCACAAAGTGACATAAGTAAGGGCGAAATTTTGGAACAGGAAGCCTTGAATGACTGATTTGTCTTCTTCTCAATACGATACGACAAATCCTTGAACAGGTGGTACGTTCGCACCACCTGGGAGTCGCATATTAATATTGAAATGTTTATCCAGTGACCCCTGGTTTACACCCAAAGAAGTGAACTAATGACGAATAAACCTAAAAATCAAACTAATATTCACGAAGTCCTCAATAAAATGTGAAAACCTTTTGTTCCTAGACTCAAATAAATAAAGCTTTAAGGAAAGGATGAATTTTAACAAGAATATTTTGATTCACAATCCCAGAATACTAACTCGACGACTTAATGCCAATGATAAAGAGTTTAAATGATTCTTCAAAAGAGAGAATCATCATTAGTTAAAATTATGAAATGTGGGTAACCAACATATCAATGAAATATAAATAAATTAGCATGGATTAAACTTTGAATACACTCATAATAATATTTTTGAACGTTTTAGCTACACACTATTTTATTTAACAGTATGTTGCTCACGCTCTATAAATTAACCTAAGTAAGAGATCAAAATTACTATTTATCTTAAAATTAGTCATCTTTTACTCGAGTATAAGAAATTAGCTCACGAAAATAACAACCTTATAACTTCCAATTTATATATACTGAACAACTCACCTAACTTTTTAAAATAAACGGTTTTCGGAATTCAAAATATAAAAATGGTATAACAGTTATCACACTCACAAAAATGGCACGAGGGAAGATAAATCTATAGGAAAAAAACTAAGCAGTAACATTTTAGTTTTATAGCGACTAATAAACTGTTTGTCAACCGGTAGATATTGTCTGAATGCATTTTTCTTATCATGTTTACATTTGTTGTTTATTTCTTGACTGTATTTGTGTGAGTTCATTTGGACTTTTAAACATTTAGTTATAATTTAAAACAGATGGATTACAGATAGCAGTGCAATCTAAAAGAAATGTATTGTATAAGACTTATCAGTTAGATGTACTTGGATCACACAGTTTATATTTACTCTGGAATTATAACCTAGTATCTTTTAATTCAAACGGTCTATCCATTTTCCACTTCGCTACTGGGCTCAGATAGTCATTGACTTATTTCAGTTCTAAACAATAATGATACAAGTTCAGTTAGGCATTTCATTTCGAAAATATTGATTACATTGACCAGAATAAATCAGAGATGTTATCTGTGTTATATAAGACTTCATTTAGTACAATGTCCATCTAATAACTAAAGGCTTATGTTCAACTGATTAAGCATCAAGTGCAAAACATATCCCATAATTTGATATAGGGATATATATTTGATTAGTGTACAATGTATTTTATGATCGTCATGTAGATTACAAGTTGTTATTTAAGATTTCAAATAAACTTGAGCAAAACAGCAAAGTAACTAACACCCTTTTAGTTTATTTCTTACATAATTTAAATAATTATTGTGGCTAATATGTTTATTGGTTGAAAAATATTTGTTGACCAAAAGTATCTTACCATAAGTATTGTCGAACTAATGCTTGCACAGAACAGAACCGCTAGAGGAGTAACATAGAGATTAGCCTCACGGTAATAGGTACAAACAGCAGGTACATGAGTGTGATTGTAAACACTTATTGAATGAGGTGCTTAAGAAGTTGTACAGATATTTAAAAATAACTTAGCACAATCTTTAACGTTAACTATAATTTGGACAGACTGGAAAGAGACTTAGTTTAGGTTTGTCAATACACGGCATCAATCCATGAAAGTATTGACTGTTGTTCTTTTTAGACTGTATTTCCTATGTTTATGTTTCCAATGATGTTGATAATATTTTTCGCTACATACTTCTCATTTTGTTAAGTTCCTGTATCCATA